CGTGTGCCACATATGAGCCATTGTGCGACTCGTGGCAATGCTGTACTGATACGCGACGCGAAAGACGCGAAAGCCGTCCGCGACACGATCGCGTTTAGAAAAAGATTTTCACGGAGCGTCTCGTACTATAACATTACTGTTCGAACGTCGCCGTGCGAATGATAAGGCCGTAAGTCGTAAACAATAGCGCGCCAATGTTTACGCCGCCAAGGCTGAATACCTATGTTATTATACATATGTTAACAATACCATGTCATTGATAATTTGCTGCCGAGATATTTTACGTATTTATATGTATATATATATATATATATACATATTACTTTATCGCATAGCATTCATTCGGGCCGACTATTTACGGACATTACTACTCTTTCTAGCTCTTCTTTACCATATCAATGGAAATATTTCGGCCTGAAAGCTTTTTTGCGCAAATACACTGGCCAAAAACGAGAAAAGAGAATTTTGCAGATTAAAGGAAGAAAACTTTTTCGCGAATCTAGTTCTTTGCTGATTATTAGGAAATTAGGACAAGTTGCGTTCTGCGGACAAGGAAGGATTTTTAAAATATATAAATTATTGAAATGTATCAGGATATAAAAGACTGCATTCCACAAAAGTAGATCATTACAGATTTAATTTTTTGTGTATTATGTTATTACGAAAATTAATTTTTTTTTTATTTCGAATATTATGTATCCTCCGTCTGATTAATTCCGGCTTCTACTACTACCAGAGTTGCTTTTGCCTCTATTGTGATACATTCTCTCTATAACTAACGCAATACTGAAATATTTTTTAATAATGTAATAATCATTATATTAATGTTTGTTAAGATAAAATATTTAAGTTACTGACTGCTTTATATCTATATTTAATTAATATGATGTAATAAAATATTTAATATTATATTAAATATATATTTAACGTATAACAAATGATATAATATACGGTTTAATAAATTTATTAAAAAGAGGCAAATTTATTGTATGTCATATAATCAAACAATATCACGTTATCATGCTTACCGCAATACACGCATATACTGGTCTGATTGATATTTATCTTCTTATTCACAATTCATACGTAAAGTTAATTTTATGCTGGACTTTTCGGTCGATGACCGAAACAAAGCGAAAATAAATTTTAGTATTAAATCTCGTTGCAAAGTTCGGTCGAAAATCCAGGCGGCCTTTATTACAGCCGGAGCCTTTACCTGTTGTAAACCCGCTGTTAGAACGTTGCTCCAACCACAAGGGCGAGTTTATGAGTTCCGGGTCGTTGCATCCGGATGCGGTTAAACTTGGTAGCTCTCCACCGTAGTGGAGTTTCGCGCCAATTCCCGTGTAAACGATCCTGATCGTTGCTTTTTTTCCGCATGTGCGGGTGCTTGGTACCACAAGAAAAAAAAAGATACCGTTTTATCTTAATTTCCAATTTGGTGTGATTATTAGCGTGAAATCAGGTTCTGCACGTGTTTTTCTCAAGGAATAGTTTCTTTCTACAATTACTGTTTACAACAGTAATTGAACTACTGAAAGATAATTACTGTTTACAACAGTAATTGAACTACTGAAAGACAATTACTGTTTACAACAATTTTATTACAAGATTATTACTGTTTAATTGTCTTTCTATAAATTGGATCGAAACAAATGATTGATTAAATTTTTATAGAGATATGCGAGAAACAAATTTGATTTTTATAACATAAATAAATATCTTAATCCAATCATTGCAAGACATTGAAAAAAATTGTTAAACTTATTAATTCAGTTCTATTATAAACGTAATTTATTAGATCTTTAATTAAAATCGTCGCAGTTATTACATTTTGATTCGAACGATAAGTTATTGCTGTGGACGAGTAATATAACTCCGGAAGTAATATATTTCAAATCAGACAGAATAAACGCGTAATTAAAGCGAAACGTCAATTTCTCGCAAAACACGCAGACCGGAGGCAATCATATAAACAACGGCGAACCAAACTATCCCCCTTGTTCTCTTTACACATCATCGATCAAACTAAACATACTTCTGTCCCGTTCCTGCCTTCTACACTGCCTATTCGATACAATAAAGATGCCCTTTGCACGCGTCCGATAACAGTCGCTAAATCGCGCTGCGACTAAAGTGTCTGATCGTGACCGGGAAAGCATGCGTGAGGGCGAATTTTTCAGGCACTTTCATTTTTATTCTATCTCCCTCGCGCTCTTTAACAATGGATCGCCGCTGCGTGATAGTGTCCGTGAATCTAGACACGAAAGATGCGGCCGATAGAGAAGCGCGAAGAATATATCCGAGGCGAATTTGCATTTTAAGCAATGCCGAGAAATTTTGCTGGAACTTCCTCGAAGAATATTCAACGCGTTGTACGCGAAGTAACAATGACTTGAAGTGGTGTAGGTATAAGTTTTAACTTGCTGGATTTTTTAATTAATTTTTCAAGAATCTTTGAAATAATAGATTTAGATTAAAAATTGTATGCTAAATGTAATTCTTGAGAAAAACGTCAATGTTAATTTTATTTTAATAAAATAAAGAATTTTTAATATAATATAATATTTTAAACATATTTTTAATACATTTTTAACACATATTAATACATATATTATATTCGTGTAGCAATTTTTTTTTATGAAACCAGTCTTTTTACAAAAAGGCTTTGATTCTTTTTTACAGCATCAAATCTTTGTAAACTGGCGTTTTATAAAAAATTTAGGTTTTTTGTAGAAAAGCTGAATTTACAAAAAAACCTGCGAGATATATTCATACATTTCTATTTAATTGACTGTTTTTTTCAACGCGTTGCATGAAAGTATTTACTAAAAACATAATGCAAACTATAATATGTGTTGCGCCATTCACATCGTTTACAATAAAGACAATATAAAGACGAACATAGATTTCGGAAATAACATCTTATTATCTCAGCGTTTTTTCGAGCTCCTAAAAGGAAGACGTAGTGTCCTGCGGCAAACGTTAAATCTCATAGCAACTGGATTTGAGGCGCTCCGGGGTGTCTTTTTGGTAGACTCGGGGTAGCTTAGACACACTCGGAAAATATGTGATATGACACGTGAGTAGATATGATGCAAACCTCACGTTTCGCTACGTTTCGTACGTGAAAGATCTTCGCTTGAAAAATATTTACGATCAGGATAGTAGCATTTTACACGCGAATATCGGGCGTACGTACATTGTATTCGAACATCGCGATATTGTTTTTTCACAATATCTCCCTATCGAGAGGGTCTTATCGGAAACAGCGGCTTAGATTCTCATGGGATGTAGGTGGTATGAATTGCGTGGGACAAGTTTAACGAGTGTAATATGCGTGGGATGTCTTCGCAGAATATTGGAACTTGATATTACGAGATCATGACCTCTCTCTTCTATACTTGTTCGTAATTAGATATCGGGGATCCGTGTCGGAATCTGCTGGTGCGGTAATTTATCGCTACAAGCGAGTCTTGTATTTCTGAAAAAAATTGTGAATCATATATTAAAAAAAAAAAAGTATATGTGTATGTGTACAGACATCGATTTTTTACTATAACAGTATAATATTATATAATATTTAACTGACAGGATATGTAAAATTTTTATAATAGATTTATATTTCCATTTATTTATTTTATTTCAAATTGTATATATAATATATATATATTAGATACGCATTTTTATAAAATTGATACTTTACATTATTGCGAGGGGCAGTTGAGAATTATTTCTTGAAAATACATGCAATATGGTTTCTTATCGTAAAAATTTAGTTTTAAGCAAACATGAGGGACAATCATTAAGTTTGTCACGAATGGTTATTGAAAAAAAGTAAAAAAAAAGGTTTTGTATTATATATATACACACGAAGGAAAGTCATTAATTAATACATGGATGTGGGATAGCAGTAAATGGAAGAAATTAGTTTCTAATTATAGCAATGGTCGTTGACACAGTCCAACAATCAATAACCATTTGTGTCATATTTATTGACTTTCCCCTCGTATAATAATGTACAAAAAGATGTTAATTATTGTGTATAGTAAACGCATCAACTCATACCGGGGATAATCAAAAATTTTATGACATTTATACGGTCTGTTACAAATACTTTACGATTATAGCGACACTTTATCTTTTCCCTTACGCGAGTAAATCGCTGATCTCGAATGTGAAATACATATAATCACGCGTGAGATGAGTTGCAAATTATTGCAACGACACTTATCGCGTCGGTCGAAATAACTAGAAGCATAACTATTGATATTACATCGAAAAAGTTACAAAAATAAGTAAGAATTGTATAGGCAAGAAGAAAAATCAGATTGTAAATTTACTGCGAAAAGCAGATAACGGCGACCAGCACGAATTCGAAAGTTTGCTCGCGTAGTAGTGAGTACGGAAGCTGTGCACGAACTATTCCGCGATCAATATAATGCTGCACAATGTGCTCGTATATCTTCGCGAATGTACGATCTTCTTGCTGCAGAATTGAAGCATCGACTGGAACAATGTCGCGAGTTTGATTTCGCAAACTTATGGATTTTCCAAGATATAATATAGCATGTTATTGATCGCATATGTGAAAGATTTAGTTTCTAGTGATCAAGAATAGTAAATTTACATTTTTATGTATTTATTTTATCTCGAATTTATATATGTATACTTATATACATTTATAAAAGTTATATTTTACATTATTGGGGGAATCTATTGAGAATTATTTATTGAGTAAAAAAAGAAACCCGCGCGCAACATGGTACTTCATATCGATATTTATATATTTTTGAAATGTGATATTTGTGTATGATTTATGGTTCACGATATTCTAAATAAAACTTTTTTATCTTTTCTTGCACATGAAGAAATAACTGTGCCTCCGAACTCTGGAGATCCGTGACACGTAAATAACTTTTCAATTTCTCGATTTCAGAGGTGAAACTGGAACTCGAAGACCTGATGTCCGACATCAAGAAAACTGCTAACAAAGTGAGGGCTAAATTAAAGGGTAAGTTGTCAGTATGGATGTTTGCGCGTAATATGGTGATACTTTAAATTGATCGTGGCTATCGAAAGTATGTTCCGCTCTGCGACAATCGAGCATTGTCTTCTGCATTTAGTGATAGAGCAGAACATCGAGCAGGAGGAGCACACGAACAAATCGTCGGCGGATCTGAGGATACGCAAGACCCAGCACTCGACGTTGTCGAGGAAGTTCGTCGAAGTGATGACGGAGTACAATCGGACACAGACCGATTACAGGGAGCGGTGTAAGGGGAGAATACAACGACAGCTCGAGATCAGTGAGTATATGTGTGTGTGCGTGTGTGTATCGCGATTGGCCGCATTCACAATGCTTGTTCGAGCAGAACAGCCCTTTCCAATCTATCGTCACGTCCGAGTCTGTCCCATCCTCTCGGAATGCATGCTCATCAACCTAATGTTCGTATCCCTTTCTTTGAGAAGAATTGAGAGAAAGCTTTGAATTGTTATTGCTCGTAAATTTTAATAATCGTGACGATGAGATCAAGAAAGATATCTAAAACATCTCTCGATGATTAGAAAAGTTTTGTTTTACATAATCTTATTAAATTGTTCCTTAATTTTATGAGAATTTTATATTGCAAATAATGTAGGAGTTTATTGGTTATTATATTTATTTCTTTTTTTTTTTTGTAATGGATAATGTGAGTACAATAATCGTGGTAAGATGTAATAAGCTTACAATGTAAATAATAATTATCGCGACGATGAAATAAATCAACGTTTCTACAGTAGTGTCGATATTTATGATCGGAGCAATCGTACTGTGCTCCGATAAATGAATGATAATGTCGCGCGCGGCATGTAGCACGATAGAAAATTGATTGCATCTGCATTTGCAATCGATTGCATCTGTTTTCAAAGAGACGAAGAAATCTTTCTATTTTCAGCGGGGAGAACGACCACCAACGAGGAGCTTGAGGAGATGCTGGAGCAAGGAAATCCAGCCGTCTTCACGCAAGGGGTACATTCTTAAAACGATCTTTCTCTTGTGTATACTTGTAACTCCCGTTGAAGAGCTCCAAGTAGCTTAATAATTGTCCGTCGCCTCCTCCCTGTCCACCTATTCCTACTCGTTCGATTAATCTTATCGCTTGTCTCAGATCATCATGGAAACGCAACAAGCAAAACAGACCCTTGCGGACATAGAGGCGCGTCATGCTGACATCATTAAACTCGAAAACTCCATCAGGGAGTTACACGACATGTTCATGGACATGGCTATGTTGGTGGAGAGTCAGGTAAGGTCAAACAGCTTCATGCAAATTTGTCCCAGAAACCGTTTGCCCATTTAAATAAACAATAATTACATCAGCCTCCCTTTTTCGACGGATTACAAGAGTTCTCTCTTCATGAAATTTAACGGAATTAATATTGTACGCGAAAGAGATTTTTTTTTTAGTTTATTTTTTATTATTATCTTGATATAAAATTTCGATATAACGATATTTCTTTCATTTATTTTCAATATACTTTGAAGAAAATTGTAACAAATTAAACGCGCTTACCGGATAGAATCGGATCAATTCGCATTAGATTACACAATCAGTTTAATAAATATAAACATAATTTCCGGCAGTTCACAAATGAGTTGATAACTGTAACGTTTGTAGCTAATCATAAGTCACGCGAGAATTAATTAATATGTGTATTTGAGAAGGAAATTAATAATGAGAAATTTTTTTAGTTTGATTTTTAAACAAATGGATTAAATCATTTCATTTTTATTTCTTATAATAAAATAAGTGCTCAAAATACTGCTTGTATGTATGAAAATATAATTTTTAACAGATAATTTTATTTACATTTTAGTTTATTTTAAGTGTAATAAACAAATAATTATATATTTATATTTTGATCTTTAGACAAAAAATGATTTAGTGTACTCTCGAATTTAATTCTAAATCATACAAATAAAAAATGTGTGAAAGTTAATCCGATTGCTCTTTCAAATACACATTTTAATTTACTTTCGGACTTAAACTTTCGATTTGATTGAGATGCTTTATTGCGAGATGCTTGAGCGGCATCGTTCCTTGCGATTGGCTGATGTAATCGGTCACATTTAAATCGTTTGCGATGTTAATTTAATTGATATGAAAATTCAGAGAGCACTTTCTTTTTTCTCGATTAAATTATTTTTCGTATCAATTGTCCGCGGTTATTTTTATGCAACGATGATCGATAAGCAATTAGGAGCGTAGCGCGACGCAGTGTAACAATTCCTCTTCTCTTCAGCATAATTTCTTGGCGAGCCGCATAATTTGGCGCGTTTACTATCTGTTAATCAAAGGGAGATTTCTTCAGCGTACTAAAATCTCAAAAATTTACTCTTGAAAAATATAATTATATCAATCTAATTATTACAGTACACATCAATGTGTACGTTTATTTAAAATTATTTCTTCACGAAAAATTTGAGATTTTAGTCCGTCGCTTTTTTTCCTTTGCATGATAGTAATAGTTATAATAATAATATTAACAATAATAATATTTTATTAATCTTACTACATTATAGTCTTGTTTATACGAGTCCAATGATCTTTTTTCATACAATGAGGCAAAGCAATTACCGCAATCTTTTAACTAATTTACAATTTACAATTATTAGCTAAACCTGCTGTTTATCAATTAAAATTATCAAATTATAACTTTCGATTATCGCTTTACGAAATTTATAATGATTACAGAGAAGATTATTGTAATTTTTTTTTTATAGATTTTTATACAATTATGTTGTTAATAATTTTGATTTCCGACGGTAATTGCTTCCCTCGTTTATCAATGCCGGTGTGAGAGCTGATGCATGACAATAAGAAAGATCAGCGAACAGTTTAATCACTGGCCTTGCCTTTTATTCCTGAACTCTTTCTCTCTCTCTCTCTCTCTCTTACGCTCTTTGTGTTACGCTGTGTGGATTCGCGCTGCGCCTCCTATCTACAATTAGGGCGAGATGATAGATCGCATAGAATACCACGTGGAACATGCGGTGGACTACGTGCAGACGGCCACGCAGGACACCAAAAAAGCACTCAAGTATCAAAGCAAAGCCCGACGGGTGAGTTGCCCCCAGATATCACGCCGCCGAAACCGTTGGCATTTCATTCGCGTCTAATTGGTCACTCTTTTTTTTTTCTTCTCCCTCTCTTCTCCCTCTCTTCTCGTACCCTCCTCGCTCGATCCATTGTCCCTTAAATCCCATTTTGATTTTCATCGTTCAATTCCCACCGTCACCCTTTCCTTACCCCGAGTCCGCTCTATTTATTCGCTATATTTAATTAATTACGCTTCTGTTGACGTATCTTGCTACAATCTGGTATTAATCGGTGTACAATCAATTTTCCACAATTACATTTACCCTTTCCCACCCCTTCTTTATGACGCGTAAATTATTAACGACGATGCTTTGTGGATTCTTTCTGTTTATTTGTATGTCACTTTTTTTGTCATTGATATTCGTATTTCGCGGTCAATCAAAAACAACGATATATATATAAATGTATATATCTCTACATATATTATATTATACACATACACTTTATATACTATACATATATACTACTATACATATATACACTATTATATACTGTTATACACATATTGTTTATATGTGCGTTCTCTCTCTCTTTTTATACATACATCTATGTATCGCTCTCTGTTCTTTGCCGAAATATGGGTGTGCTAATTGTGTGCCTCTGTCCATCAACTGCTCTGTTTACTATTACTACTATTACTCATACTACTAACCTTGCGTACTAAACCCTATGCTGTCGATACTAATACGAATCGTATATGATTGTGTATCGATGTGAAAACACGACGCCGGGGGTCCCGGTATTTTCTCGCCGCGCGAGGGACGCTGCTTCTATCTCTCTATTTGCCGATTATGTGTACATAAATATGTAACCCTGGGTGCATCCGTTTCCGAGGTTGTTGTTTCCCCACCCCCGATAATCTGGTCCCATCTCGAGATCGTCCCTTCCGATCTCTACCCTGAATCCGTTTCCCGTTTCCCACGTGGCGGTACGGCAGGGCGAAATGGTGGACTGCATTGAGTACTGCGTGAATCAGACCGGCGACCACGTGGGCCAGGCTCGGGGCGAGCTGATCAAAGCCGAAGAGTATCAAAGCAAAGCTCGTAAGGTAAAGAACATCAGACATACCAGACACACGGGCGACCGAACTCGTGCCGAAACTCGGGACGAAAATCTGCTCCTCGTGATAGCGCATAATCGCCAGATGATCGCAAGGAACGAAAAGGCATGTAAAGACAGCAGAGCGGATTTTCACGAATTTCGGATCGACTTGGTCGACATGAACGCTACTAACTTGCAATCGGGTTTAGAGAGAAATTTATTAACTTTTATCCGACTTAGAAGTGTATATAAAAATGTATATATGAAATGTAAATAGAAGAGGATATATATTTTTTTCTATTTGCTGGCATCGCGAATTTTGCGTTGCATCGAACGAGACAATTTTTTCGGAATTTATTCTTCGGGAAGAATGTTTCTTCTTCCTGCGCTAGCTCAGAGGATTTTATCGCAGGTCTCGCGATAAGGAACCGCTTCTCTGATGGCGGCGTTCATCAAAAAACAACATCGCCGAATAAATAAAACCAGGCAGGAGCAAAAAGGAATAAGTGCCTATTATACAACGGAGAGAGAGAGAGAGAAAGAGAGAAATTCATTTCAAGTTTTATCAAGCGCGACAGCAAACTTCAAAACTTTATCGCGGGGGTGATTTTCTTCCTCTCGCATTGTTATCGTTTTCTCCGCATTGCGCGGTCTTCTAGAGTTTTGACCTCTGCCTCTCTATCTCTCTCTCTCTCTCTCTCTCTCTCTCTCTCGCCATTGTGCCTCTCTCATGCCGAACGAACATTTTCACTTGGATATGTTTCAATTGAAACTCGTTCACTTTTCTGCGAAGAATAGGTGTTAAAAATAGTAAAGCTCACCAGATTTCCAGGAATGTCCATGTTCAAGAAAATATAGACGTTTGCACATATAAGGGGGGAATGAAAGTTTCTAAAAGTTTTTTTTATCCTAAATTATATAGCATGCAAAGAATAATTTGATAACGGATTTTATAAATATATTAATTTAATATATAAATGTAGAATTATCTAAATAACTAATTTTAACAATTTGTTTGGAATATATTTAATTTTGAATGCTCGCCTCGAGAGATGAATCGAATTGCGGAAATTCCTTCTTGCTCCTCCCTTCGTCTCTGGTATTACCTGCGATCAGACACCTCGCATCGAGTGGGATCCGATTCTTGTTTTTTGTGATTGACCCGTAATCTTGTGTCTAGTGTATAATGTACAATCGCACTGGTGTGCTAATCATGTTACTGTCTGGCTGCGTGTGATATAAACGATAGATCTCGCGATTGATGTCCATCGTGGGATTGTGTAAGAGAGATGAAGCATAGTCGATGTCGAGAGTAGTGTAGACACATAGTACAGCGTTAGAAGAATGCGCTGTGTTTCTTAAATGCATAGTTGCATAGAATACGATGTAATGAAGTACAAAAGGTAGCGGACCAACAAGTTTTTGTGGCCCGAATAGAACGGTTTGGTGTTTATGATTAACCAATTTGTGAACGCACCCGCATTATTAGAGGTATGAGGAATGTGCTTGATTGTGTTTAACAGCAAATTCATTTTCCTCCCCAAAAAATGATTGTTCATAATACTATTTATAGCAGTAATCATTGTTTTAACGCGACTTTGTTTTCTGCATCTCGCGAGTGTAAACAAATTTATTTAAATATTTATATGAATTCGGTGTAAAAAAATTTATTTAAATATTCTTTTCTTTTAATTCTATAAAAAGAGCAACATAGTCTAACGATACCTCTTTATCAAGTCGCATTAATTTTTCTTTTTATTTATAAATATTAAAGAGTATTTTACCTGTTTTTGAATATTTCTGAAAAAAAAACCGATTGTATTGATTTTGTTACAGATATTTGATATTGTACACAGATTCTTTCAAACCGTAAATTCGTTTCTTTGTCTTTAAAATTAAGTATTAATCAAATTTGCAATATTATTATAATAATAGATTGCAATATAAAAATTTATTTGTTAAATTATCAACGAGAGGTATAAGCACATTTATTATTATTCATGAATAAGATTGCGGGCATATCGAGAAGTTGAAATAAAATGCTTATTTTTTTTCCTTTTTGGACGCGATTTATCGGTTAAAAATGCATCATTTATAATGCGACAATACAAGTCAGCATGAGCGAACATAGCAACCTCATACTTGTTTCTCGCACATGCTTTTTCCTACCGCTTTTTTTTCGCGGGCTTTTCCGAACCACTGCACTCGCGTACAGAGTCTCGCGTATAGTTTCTTCTCTAATGTCGCTCTTTTTCGCCGAAAATATTTTTCTCATTCTCTTTCTCTTTTTGTTTTTTCTTTACTTTTTCGATTTTTCTCATATGTACGTATATCTTTGGCACCTTCTCTGACAGTTTTCTCACAAGGCACGCCGCACAACATTATTTCGCAAGAAATTTTCACTCTTTTTTCTCTCTCTTTGATTCCTTCGATTGTTCGAGACGAAACGCGTATACGTGTACGTTACACGTAGCCCTTTCTGCTTTTCTGTCCACAGAAAATGATCCTCATCATAATCTGCGTCCTAATAGCGGCGGTTATACTAGTCGCCATAATAATAGGGCTCGTTCCGTCAACTTAAACGGCTAAGAAGGGTGGTTTTTGTGGGAGAAGTAGGGAAGGAAGGGCGTTTGAAAATTTTTGAAGGAGAAGCCAGAGAAAGAAAGGGGAAAAGTGCAACGCGGCAGCAAATATGTCATAATAATAATAATAATAATAATATTAATAATAACATAAAGACATAATAATATGATAATAATATATAACAATAATGAAATGCAGAAACTTAGTCGCGATCAGCTCGGAAAAAACGTATGAGATTGAATGTGCAGTGTGATCAGATGAAGATGTGGAATTAATTACTTGGTGGCGGTCGCCTGTGTGAAAGCTCTGAACGTAAAAGTCGCACGTGTACTAAAATTGAGAAAAACATAAAAAGGAGAAATGATGCACAAATTTAATAAAACGGGGGATCCCGGGCGCTGATCCTAATAACATAACACACACATAACACACACACGCGTCTCTCCGTAAATCTTACGCCGATAATCCTCCGACTAATCTCCGTAATGAACGACTAATTAACGACTATTAACCCGCATTTATCGCATCCGCTCGTTCCGTTAACAGTAAGTACACTTCATTACACCACTCGACATTTCCTCCTGCTACTTGACGGGTGTCTTGAAATATCTTGTCGATCGCACGATCTCGATTCCGCCGATAATCGCGCTTTCGCTTCTCCTCTTGTCGGATTTACTTGTTATCGATAATCCGCTTGTGATTAATCTCAGAAAACTAAGTAAGACGCGAGAACATCCCGGTTTCCGGAGGAAATTCGAGGCCAGCTATATATCGTCGGAAATCGTTTGTCATTTTATGTTGACCGATACGCATTTATTATTTATTTCACAAAATATTGAAATTTTTTGTTCCGAACTCTTTGAGATATATAAAATCACGGCTGTAAGTTATTTAGCAGCAATTTAAAGTCTTTTGTATTTTCTCTTTTGTATATTTTTATGTTATATATATTATATAATTATATAATCTGTCAGATTCATTGCGTTTGATTTTATTCATAGATAAATAATTTGGAGTAAATCTTAGCTCGATGAAATTGTTAATATATCTAGTCCTTTATTTAATTTGAAAAGGATTGTTTTAATTCAAGCGTAATAGTAATGTTTGTAGACATACTTTCTTTAATTAAGTTTCTCTAATTACATGCTCGAAGTGTCGGAACTATCATTCTCCATCTGGTTCATTCGGAACTGTCGCGATTTTAATTTAATCGCAGAGCTGCCGTTCCGTTTGTTCTTTTGTTTTTTTTTTTTTAAACGATCACAAAATTATTTTATTTTGCAGAAATTGTTCCTGATAGTGATCTGCGTGACGATAGCGGTCATCATTCTGATTATCATTCTGGCCGCTAGTTTAAGTTAATTTAAGTGCGCACGCGACAATGCCGAGAAAAAGAATTAACGTATTGGCAGATTAAGTATAAACGGGAAAAAAAGGGAAGATATAGAACAAAAATATTTTGGACAGATACGAACACACATATCTGTCATCTCTCACTCTTGCCTCGTCCCTCCGTTTAAAGGGAATGAGTCAGGATCGTAACGGAGATAGTATCGATCTTATTGATATTGATCTTCGTTTCGACGAGGAGATAATGCGATACATTTCGAGGATTCTCGCGAGACATCTCTCGTTATACGTTTATTTATTATCGATTCTTAAATAAAATTCGTGCATTTGTATGTTTATTTATTATCACTTGTAACACGCATATAGTCAATTACGATCTTACACATGCACTACCGGTAATAATTGTAAGCAGATTATTGATCACACATACTGAGTATGACGGATAATTAGAATCCATCCTGCGGATGTAGTAACTTCCCGGAAAACGTTTCATAGGCGTCGTAACATTAATACAAGTCAGGAACGGTGAGGACATACCAAGCTGAATCTCGACTACACAAAGCCAAGAAACAATCGCTTTATTAACGGAGATTCGTATAACGGAGTTTCCTTCATTGCGCTTCGATACATCGGAAAGTGCACGATATAATATTATGTTAATTTTTTTTCTTAAAAAAAAAAAACTACATTTTTTTTGCCGAAAAAACCGATGCGAGAGTCTTGCAAAGCGATAGCTTTTAACATTCTCGAAATGTGCTCGCGAGAAAAAGGCATATTAGGCATTGTCTTTTTAAGGTATTATAGCGCACCATAAACTTGCATTAAATCTTAGAAACGCGGAGTAAAAAAAACATCGAGAGAGACAAGAAGAGATTGTCGAGGGAATCGGTGTTTTCTTTCCAGGGTGATTTGATCGATAATGCTATCGTCGATAAACTTTCCTTTGTATCCAGAGCGCACCTCCATCGCACTGCCTTTTGTTATTTTTCTCCGTATTATTTTTGCCACTTCATCTTTCCTAGGTAAAGTTCCGACACGAGCGAATAATATAGACAACGGTAGCGCGATCGAGAATCATGCGCGACATATGAGATCAGAGACGCGCGCCCTTTCTCGAAAGTCGCCTTCGGGCAAAGTTCGCCGCCGATTTAACGGAAAGATTCTCAGTTACTCGAGCAGTGCGGCGATAACAAATTATTTCATTTTCCTTTTTATAATTATCAGCGAATATTGAGAATCGATCTGGACCATTGTCATCTGGAGAGAAAATTATCAGCAATATACTTAAATTGTGAGATATTCGACTTTTATTTAATTAACTTTATCTAAAATTATATCTTCCAATTTTTCTCTAGCAATAAGAGAAAAAATTATAACGACAATTGTGTGAATTTTCAGAAGGATTGCTATCTACAGATATGGTTATATTGTAATATTATCATATAAAAAAATCTCAGTTAAAAAGATTAATATATATTAATATATGTGTATCATTTGTTAAATTCTTTTCTAAATTAAATTTATGCTGAAATCACTCGACACTTGGCTAAAAGAGTATACTTTAAAGTTTGCGTACGCCTCGGATCATCATCGACTTATCGCATTATCAGTCTTTGTTTTTGACGAAATTCGATTGTATCGCTGTTTGTTGTCGCCGCCTTGATTCCATCTCACGGAATCGGCTGAATCGGCGACGTAACAGAGCTCACTTCCGGATTTGTCGTCTCAGAATTGATCGATTGTTTCTGAGCGAAATGCGACGGAGACGATATCGCCATCACCTCTCGTGCCGAGTGCTCTATTTCTCTAGGTAGGCTGACAAGCGAAAGAGGGAGAGAGGAAGAGAGAGAGAGAGAGTTCCGCTCTCTCTATCGAAACGCTAATCCGCGCGACGACGACGACGTATCTCACGTGGTATACACGCTCCGATGAACAAATATCGATCGCCCGAACTCGAGTAATCACCGTCGTCGCAATGCAGACCGCACAACACAGATGCGGCGCGCGCATTGTACATATAAATAATTGCAATTTGTATAGAGCAGATAATAATAGTAATAATAATAATAATTATAAGGAAAAGGTAATGAGAAAGAAAGAGGAAGAGTAACAATGTTAATCATTAATGCCGATAGCGTAGTAGGTATTTTCTTCTCTCTTCGGATGTATTCAGCGTAGAAAAAAAGGAATAAAATTCTCATTGTGTCAGATAAGAGACGACGACATCGTTCGCGACATGCCGCTTTTTTTTCTTTGTCGTCTTTACTATACTTGCCGCCTCGCAAAAAAAAAAAGAAATAATAATTGTCCTCTATAAATAATAGAAAGTGCGCGAGTGAAACGAAGCGTAAGAATAATTAGCGCTGATTGTTCGAATTTGCGAGCTCAGCTGGCATAGGAAATGATTAATAGAGTCGCGAAGATAATAGAGAGAGAAGATATAGTGAAATATTGAAAATATTGGAATTTTTGCGGCGTATTTTGTACAAGAGGAGAACAAGAACGACAGGCGAACATTCGATCGTTCGCAAGGCTCGATTCAGGGTAAATTCACCAAATGTAGATTGGTTTGACGGAACACTACGCTTGCTGCGGAGAAAGGGAGAGGATAGGAATGTGAATCTAATTGAGAATGCACCGCTGAAATTGCACTGGGGAGAAGAGGCAGCTTCAAGGGAAACGGACGCTAATGACGAGAGTTAACAAAGGTCTGTATCTCCGCTTTTTTTCCGATTAATGCCAATCTCTTTGATCATTTTCGACACCCCTCTTTTATTTCCTTCCATTGCAAATATAAGGAAAGACGCACGAGATCTTAATTATTGATATGTCGTGAAATGTTTCTATTTTTTTCTGAAAACGGATTGCCCTAACATGTAGTATTCTAATATTAATTGACTTTATTTCTTTCCATGCTTCTCTCTCATCTCTGAATTTTTCAATTATTTTGGAAACAAAAATTGGAGCAATTTTTTCTTAACAAAAATTCAATTGCGCGTTGTTTTTTTTTACAATAAATTAAAATCTTTTCAAAATCCATTTGTGTGTTGTTTAATAAAAAATAATATTCTTTAAAATTTTTAAATATATATATATATAATTCGTAAAAATGTCTGGATCAAAGAAAAATCTACTATATATTTAAAGAATCTGTAGATGTGTGATAAAAGACATTATTCTATATACTAAAGACAAGATTATGAAAATAACGCGAACATATGATACAAATTACAATTATTTGTTTAATCAGAATTACATTATGATCGCGATTGTTGATACAATTCAACTTTAACATTGAAAGTTGATAGTGAGAGACATTTTCTCGCTATTCAGATGCAATTTCTGTCGAATAAATCACACACTGGTAATTTTTTACAGGCCATCGCAACGTGCGTCGTCCACGCCAGTCACGAGCAAGATGCAATTTCTTTCAGGTGCTCTACAATAGATCGACAAGTGAACAATTGTAATGTGTAGCATAATAATAATAGTAATGGACAGAGGTATCGAGCACACGAGCGAGGTATTGAGTTTAAAAAAGAAATAGTGAGAAAGAGCGAGAGTGAGAGAGAATGGTATACATAAATAGATTTAAGGGAAAGCGTCGAGAGAGAAAGCCTTGTAATCGATTATATTAAACTTTTACCAATCTGTTAACGCCGAGTGCAGAAGAAGATCATGATCATGATTTGTCTCGCTGTATTGGGCGTTGTCGTCGCTACCACCATCGGCGGATACTTTGGACTGTGAACGCCAAAACCAGGTATGTGCCAATGCATAATATTGTGTGACATTTGACATTTTATCATATCAGAAATGTCCAGACGATAATAAAAACATATATTGTTCTTTATTGACGTCGCGGTTCAACAACGTAGCTATGATTATAATTTTATTGCCACGTGCCGAAATAATGTTACATATATATGTATCTCATGAGGCTGCATATTAGATTGAAGAATTAGATATATTTTACTGTAGCTAGGTTTCGAGTTCAATAGTGGAAAATGTGAAGGTAAATGTAGACGAGATTTCACACGATTCGCTTAATAAGACACCATTACGAACGAAAATACTCTCTTGATAGGCTCCTGATATATTATGTTTGTTATTGGATCTTGAAGCATTCCGTCGAAAATATGTCCAATGGATCATTTATCGAATGGAAATTTCTTCGAAAATATTGTTTTACTGTTTGATGTTAATAATAACACGAACTTTAATAGTATTAATGCTAATTAATGCTATAATTCAGTAGTAACTAATGCTAAAGTAATGATAAAGTAAAAGAAATTAAAGGAGATATTGATACGAAAAATATTCTATTAATTAAAAGTTACAATTATTAAAAAAATGAATAATTGACTAAGAAAGAGAGAATTTTAATTGTATGTTTTATAATTATATTTTTAAAACTAATAGATTTTTTCCTATGTCACTTTTTTCTTTTTAATATCTTTTGGAACAAAAATTAAAACATCTTATTCATTAATAGATTAGTAATACACGAATAAGTCTCATATTTAAATTTAAATGGTGTTTCTTTAATTTTATTCTTTCTCTATTATTTATTTCCTGGAATAAATATGAGTATACAAAGCAATAATATATTTTTTTATACGATTTGAATTATTGCGATATATTCCAAGTATCGCGAAAATTTTAGTTATTGTCAACAATAGCATTTTGAGACACGTTATCATTCTAGAGCTAATTCGACAAAATTTTCATGCAATTACAAACATCTGTTTATGGCTTGCCACTGTACCCACTCAGACGATCTTTTTGTTCAGAGAAGTCCAAAGACATCAGCAGCATCGTGTACCTAATTCCGAACCGCCGGCAGTGTCAGCATTCACTCATATCGCTCCGATACGTGAAGCTGATCGCCATTCGGACGAGAGGAGATCGTCATTGTCAAAGGTGCCATCATCGGCGCGCTTCTATCGTAACACTCATCATCGCTAGAGCCTTCAGTCTGTCACGCACGCTTCCCAATTCGACGCAAAGGAAACCAAAGAGAGGAAGGATAATCGCCATCATCGTCCCCATCGTCGTCGTCGTCGTCATCATCATCGCTACATTTGCGTCATCCTCGTCTCGAAAGTTTCCTCCGATAATGCGTTAGTTGCGTTTGGTTGAAAAGAGTGCGTAAAGAGAAGACAAAGAGAGAGAAAGAGATAAACCGAAGGAACAGGTTTTCCTCGTTTTTTTGTTAACTCGATCGACAATTTTTCCAATAGATCCGCCTTTAGCAGTCAATCCCAGTCCTCTCCTGTCCGCTATGTCACAACGAAACTTAAGCTCTCTTTGTGTTCGCGTTCTCATCGGTCTTTTTTTCTCTCCCCTTCCCCGCTGATTCTTTTCTCATACGGCAAAAACGAGATAACAGGAGGCCTCGCGAATGGAACGGGCTCTGAGAAAACTGAGAGATGCCTCTGTCTCTCTAAAAGGGGAACCGTCGATCGGAGATACGCATGCATCGTCGATCAAGTGACATTTTCGATCGACACTTCCCTTCCCCATTCCCATTCCGCGGAAATCCCCGCCGATTGTCACGAGGATATCATCGTGAAATGCCGTTATCGCCGGAAACACGGCGGTACGTCATCCTTCGCGGTATCCGCCTCGTTGCAGCCCGAGCTCGACACCCAATGGTGTTTTTTTGTGTAACGCGAAGGCGACAAATGGCACGTGTTGCCCGCTTTCTCCTTACCGAAAGTACGGCGCACGAAAAAATGCCGCAGGAAAAAACACTTTCCTTTACTGTGATTTGCACACTGAAAATTTTTGAACGTGTGTCACTTTGGAGTCACATTCTGAAAGTGCGTTTCGCTCGCCGATCCGATCTCTTATATCTGCTTATATACACGAGAGATAAACCGCTGACCAAAACATTTGTACACACGATATCCACGATACTAGATCGTAATTTCCGCGCGCTAATAAATCACGAGATTACGTTACTAAATAGATATAGTACTAATTTATATATTAATATTTAGGATAATTTCTAGTGATTTCTAAGGTATTGTTCCAAGCTTTAAATAAATTTTTGTAAACCCTTTTCTTCAGATATAAAAAATTTAGCGCGGATAAACCATTTTTACCAAAAAGAAAAAAACAGCGGATATTACTCAAGCACGAGAATTCGCACATCCGCTAATTTCTATTAAATATCTCGACCAGCGGTTTAACCCTCGGCTTAAACATATCACGCTTACTTTGAGCAACGTTTTCGACATCTCTACACTACACCTCTCTGTATCTGGACGATCGTGAGAAATCGGCTAGGTGATGTTTCTCCACCACAGAAAACAGCGTATCGCGAAGTGTCAAATTTGTCGCTCGAGAAGCGCCGTAGCTTAGGGTAGATTGCACTAGTATTGGTTAACCACGATCCGTGAAATTCTTTTTTCACGCACGTAAAAGACAACAATGCATTTAATAATGTACAGTTAGAGGCCTTAGAGAGCCTATATAATGTAATTAATTAAGCATTCCTCCCCTTCTTACACTTCTCTTATTACTCGCCAATCAGATATTAGTTAACCAATATTGCTGGTGCAACCAGCCCTCGATTTATTTACGATGATAAAGGTATCGACGTGTGAGCAATGTGATTTTTATAACGGGTACTTTAATAGAGATAAAAAAAGATACGTTACATACACTCTCGTTTGTAATAATAACGGCTCATTCGAGAAGGCATTTCGACCAATAGGTGTTCAGTGAAAGAAACAATCAATTCTTCCAGTATTTCTATTTAGCTGTAATTAGCGGAATATCAATCGCGATATAGCGAGGTGTAGACAAAGCGATTGTATCTTTCTATGAGCATAGCGCGAGACGGTTTTTTTTTCTTTCAGAATGTGACCGAAAGAAGCGACGACAATTGTCCAAGCGCGCGTCACGAATATTAAGAGTAGATTTAATTGTGCGTACAATATACGCGAGATATATATAAATAGATTCGTTCTCGCTTCTAGTCGACTTATTAATTTTTTTCATCGAATCGATAGATTTACGATCTTCGTGTTGCACAATACGCCATTAGCTATTGGGTGCGACGATCAGTAATAGATCTTCAATCGCAATCCGCGCGCCTTGTATGACAGTTGTTTCGCGTCTTCTGTAATCTCGACGAACCCTCGGCAAAAGTAATATCCTGTCCATTGTTTCCTCGAACACTCGACAAGTATAGCTCCTCTATTTCGCAAGTTTTAGAAATTTCCGCGTACAGATAATTTAAAAATTGTATTTGCTACCGATAGAAATTATTTTTAATCTCACTTTTCGTCGCTTTTACATCCTTTTTCTTTTGCAGTTTAACACGTGGATCTTAAAATCGCGCATCCCTAAATGCCCGCGCAGACCATTTTTTGTTGCTTTGCGAGATCAACGTTGTGCATAAAACGTAGTATTGCGAGATATATAGTATAATTTATAATATTTTTTTTGTCTATGCAATTTTCTCAAAATTCGCCTCAAATTATACAAGGGTTCTCGAAATCGAATATGCGAAAAATATATCACCGTCGAAACGATTAACCCCAAGATGGACAAAGCAAGAGAAGGTACGATAAGTGGAGAAGATAACAAATAGTGAAAGAAAGTGCGACTGTACGTACACTTGTGTGTATGTTTGTGTGAGTGTGTGTGTGAGAGAGAGAGAAATAAAGGAGCCATTAAGCTGCAGCAATAATATAATATATAGGTGTGTTATGGAAAAATAATTAAAAGATATAATCTCATTGGGGCGGAATGAGTAAGAATGAATTCAATGCGATGAACGATATTGTATGTACACGGACATGTATACATATATACATATTAAAATATATATATATATAAATATAGCTAGATAGATAGATAGAGAGAAAAAGGGAGAAGTGTCATGTGATCGAGGAGAGAGAAAAACAATATTAATAACGACAATTATATTGGCAGCCTATTATATGTATTGCTCCTCGACAGATTAATGTATCGGGCGGAGTGTTGGCGACGTTAATGTTAATGTTTTGTTGAGTATATTACAATTATTACGAACGTTGAGGTGCATACATTCTAGAAAAGATTATGGGTTGATGTTTAAAGCGAAGAGGATGAAGAAGTAGAAAATGAAGAGAGAATGAGAGATATAACGGTGAACGATTACGATTTATGCAACGCACGTTTTAAATCGTGCGTCGCTGTAATAATTAACATTAAATAATAATTAAGAAGATATTAAGATCACACCTTGCATTGTACAGAAAGCATAATAATTGTTAGTTTAGGTAGAGAGCAAGCATTACGATCTACTATCTAATTATAATCCACAATACGACTAAGATGGCTAAGATTTAATCGCGTAATCCCTCTGTCACGAGTTACGACGGTCGTCGATATATATATATATATA